ATGTGCAAGAATATAAATAAATAAATAAATAAATATTTTATTCTCGACTATGCGAGGCACGCTCGTGGGGGCATGATCAGATGGGGCATTTTGCCTTTGGCACCACGATCCATGTCGTATTCCACACCTGACAGCAAACGTGCACCTTGAGCAATGCGGCCTCGGTTCAGATGAAAGCTATGATCAACGGCCTGTGAGCACACGCAGTGGTGCGATATAATCGGTACAACAGCCACGCGACGACACACACGATGGGGACGCAGAACCAGGGGAAATCTGTATCAAGGCAAAAGCCAGACACAGTTCAGAAAACAACAAGGGCGGGAAAAGTCGTTCCATTTAGAGAAGCTTCCTTTTCATTTGGCTTGCATTCATCCGTGTAACAAACACAATCCACAGTCGTTGCGTTCACAATGGCACAATCTATGAACAAAGAGGAGAAGCAACCATGATTTATGGACAGATAGAAACCGCTCTTGACCAGATGACTGTTGCTACGTTACTAATCTATGAACTTCGCCCTAATCGTGTGAATTGAAGATCTGGAAACCCTCTCCAGGTCACCGATAGCGAACCCCGTGTGTTTTCTTCTGAGAGAAGTTGATTTTGTCCGTTTTTTAATGATTCAGACGGCTTGGAGGTGCGCAATATACTCGGAATCTTATGCTTGTCTATCTATCATCCTGGTATTCAAGTGTCTGGATTGCGGTAAAGTTGTCACTACCTGCTCAAATGCCGTTCAATGTTCTTGCTGCGACGGCTGGTTGCATGTCACTTGTTGTGGTATCTCACCAACTTTTTGGAGTGTCTTCTGATATATACAGCATCCTCTGTTGGTATATTTTGTGATTCTTGTCTTAAATTAGTCAACACCCAGCGGGCTCTGTCTGGTTTACCTGCTTTTACTTCCCGCTCTGCTAGTGTTCACTCCGATCCCCAACCCACTGTTTTCCAAAATTCGCCTTCTTCTTTCCTTTCTTTGTGCCCTGATTTTGTCACACCAGTTCTTAAGCAAATTTCTGCCCCGCCCTCGGAGTCACACATTTCTAGTGACCAGCCTAGTAAGCCCTTGCCCAAGACGTTTGTGACCGTCGTCAAGGAGAACACAGTGGCTCCCCCCGCAAGCCGGATTCCCGTGGTGCATAAATATAAGCCTATAGCCAAGTCTGTGGAAGACAAAGCGTCACCTCCAAAGCGCGGGCTGAAATCGGTTCTTCAGAGGATCGACCATTTGGAGAAACTGCCCCCGGACAAGCCGCATTCCAAGCTACGGATCCCCGAGATCGCCAAAGTCCCTAACCGGGAACGTAGTCGAATCATAATGAACTCCCCGGAGTCGGATAAGACAACAGCAGCAGAGAGAGTTTTGGATGACCAATTGTTTCTAAAACGTATGGTCTCCCTACTGTTCGACGAGGGGGAACCGGGGATTAATATCGTCTCTGCTTTTCGACTTGGCAGAAAACACGAAGATTCTTCAAGATGCTTCCCCTTAAGGTTGTATGCCAAAGTGAAGATGAATGCCGTCGACTCCTTCGACGAACTTCGAGCCTCAAGGGGAGCCCTTTCACGTGTTACGGGATCTATCCCCGGAAGACCGCGATAAAATGAAGATCGCAGTCGATGCATTGAGAACTTGCCGTGCGAACGGTGAAACCGATTTGCGTATTGAGGATTTTCGCGTGGTTCGGAAAGTTCAGAGAACGCGCTGGAAGCCGGTTCTTGTCCTTCCCGGACACTAAGATCAACAACTGGATTGCACGTACTTTTGCAAGCGTGCGCAGCCTGCGTAATAAACTAGATGAAGTTGTGCATCTTGCGTCAGCACTTCTCCCGGACCTTATGGCGTTTACGGAGACATGGTTGTCCCCAGAAATCCCAGATCCCGAAGTACATATTCCTGGTTACAGTCTCTCCCGTGTTGATCGCATCGGTTTGAGATCGGTCGCGGCGTCATGCTCTACTGGAAGGAAAGCCTGAAGGTCCATGTAGTTGATGTTGTCTTGGGAAGTGATGACTGCTCCGAAGTGCTTTGGTGTCGTATGCACGATGGTTGTAGATTTCTCTTTCTCGGTGTCTTCTACAGAGCTCCCCTGAGTTCTGGCCATCGTTTACTGGCCTCTCTAAAGAGACACGGTGGAAATAAGGATTGTTTATAAGTGGGGGGCTTTAATGCCCCTAATGTTGATTGGGATCTTCTTCACTGTGATGCTGCACCTGCCTCCTTCGATTCTACGTTTCTGGAAGCTGTTCTTGAAAGCAATTTAATTCAACATGTCGCGGCACCTACTCGCATTATCCCTGGTCAGACGCCGCACATACTCGAACTTGTGTTTTCGCCTGCACCATCGGATGTTTCTGATTTGAATGTCTTACCACCAATCGGGAAGAGTGACCACTGCCTACTTTCCTTTCAACGGACCACACGGTTGAGCATTCAGAACCACTGTGTCTATTGGCGGAATTTCTGTCGTGCTGATTCAAACCGCTTGAAGAAGGCCGCTAACGAGCAGGATTGGAATCTCCCTCAGCACTTGGACGTCGATCATGATTGGAGGCTTGTTTACTCGAAAACGTTGTCCATTATTGATGATGTTGTCCCTATATCCAAACGAAAACCATTTACTAGAGGTCCCACCTAGATTGAGCGAGAGCTACGATCGCTCATGAACCAAAGACACAAGCTTTGGAATCGCTGTAGGCTTTCGAGATTGGAAACCGATTATAGCAATTATAAATCGGTCCGGAACGTATGTACCTCGAAAAAACGTACGAAACGGCAACAATACGAAGATCAGCTAGCTGAACATTCCAAGTCTATACAGAAGCTGCTTTTCTCCTACTTGAAAAGAAGCACCAGAGCCGGAAGTGGAATACCGTCTTTGCATTCCCACGATCTTAATACCGTGCTCCACGACAATGCTGATAAAGCTAATCTTTTAGCTCGCCATTGTTCATCGGTCTATACAACGAGGGTGCCGTCAGTTGATTGTTATTCATCCTTGCCCTCCGCTCTCAGCGCTATGGACATAAATGTTACTGTGGTATACAAACTTTTGTGCGAGTTGGATCCCAACACTTCCCGGGACCTGATGGACTGCATCCTCTTTTCCTCAAGATTGTGGCCGTATATATCGCTGTTCCTAACTGCCACGTATTTCGGTGCTCACTTGAGGCCGGGCGTCTTCCGCTTGCCTGGAAAGCGGGCATAGTAAAGGCCATATACAAAGGAGGTAATCAGCAAGATCCTACGAATTATCGGCCCATTTGTCTAATGTCTGTTGTCTGTAAGGTTATGGAGAGGATTCTTAAGCGAGCTCTCAATCTGCACTTCCAGAACCTCAAGATCATTTCAGCTGCGCAGCATGGGTTTTGTCCTTCGCTTTCATATGTGACAAATTTTCTGGAAGCTCGAGAAAATTGGGCTAAATTCATGAATGCTGGTAAGCGGCTAGATGTCGTACTCGTGGATTTTAGTAAAGCATTTGATAAGGTTCCACACGAAATTTTGCTTAGCAAATTTCGCAGTATTGGTGTTTCAGGAAAAATCCTCTCTTGGCTCACTGATTTCCTGCATGACCGCGCTTCCCGTGTGCAAGTAAATGAGGCCCTTTCCTTCCCTGTAAATATGACCAGCAGTGTTCCGCAAGGCTCTCTTCTTGGCCCTGAACTTTTTAAAGTCTCCATTAATGAACTGGCATCTGTACTACTGGCTGATTGTTTGATTTACGCAGATGATTTAAAGATATGGATGGAAGTCTCTAGTCTAGCTGAAGCGGATTTACTACAAACAAAGCTCGATTCGCTGCATGGTTGGTCGATCAGGTGTCAATTACCCATAAATCACGATAAATGTTCCTTTCTTCCGATCGGTGCCTCCGAACCATTTGGAATTTATCATATCGGTGGGTTTTTGCTGCCGAACTCTAATCCTGAGAGGGACCTCGGCGTCCTTGTGACTCCAGACCTAAAATCGACCTAAGATACCTTGAGAAAACTGGCTTCTGCCAACATGTTGTTTTTCGCCATACGACGATCCTTCTCTCGCTTGAATCCAGAGATCTTCAGGCTCCTGTTCACTTCTCATGTACGTCCGACTCTTGAGTATGGACTGCCCGCCGTTTATCCTCTTTCCAAAGTTGAACGCAACTCGATTGAAAAAGTTCAGCGGAGAGGATCTAAATCCGTTCTGGAATTACGAAACCTGCCTTACTCGCATCGTCTCCAGTGCCTGAACTTGTTCTCCCTAGACTACCGTCGAGATCGCGGAGATTTGATTTTCACACGGCTTATCGTTAGAGGGGAACTTGGAGTTGAATTGCAGAATTTCTTTCCACTCAATTTTTTCAGTTCGACTCGGGGTCAGCATTGGAAATTGTTTAAACAAAGGAGACTTCGGGTCCGTTGTGATGTCACTCTGTCTACCAGAGTAGTGAACGAATGGAATAATCTACCTCTGTGTGTCGTTGATGCGCAGTCGGAGGAATGTATCAAACATCAATTGGATTCTTACCTGTTGAGTAAACTCGGATATTTTGCTTCTTGTGTCAATGCAGTGGTTCCATTGGAACCGACTTGCAATGCCCATCTTGATTCCTGTGAGGAACGGGAGGCGATGGAGCTGACAAAGGATTTTTCCTTCTGCTCTCCACATTCCAATGTTCCAAGGTTGTCTTTCCAACCGCGGAGTAACAGTTTGCTATCGCAGTCTAGCTTTATTATAAAACTGATATAGTAAGGTGAACTTTTATTTGTTGTGCAAATGCAAGGGCTATAACTTATATACCTTGTTCGTTTACGTTACATTTTTACATTTATTTAAACAAAGGTAATCTCCGAATTTGAGAATGACCTTGTGTGTAACCTGCAGGTAGCCGCCTACCGGCCTTCTTCTTTTGCCCGCACACGTTTACACCGTTCTTCGTTTCCTGCGATGGCTTCCCGTCGTTTGCCTGCAGATACGTGGAATGGCCCTAGGTACAAAATAGTTGTGGTCGGCGATGGGGGTGTTGGAAAGTCTGCTCTTACGATTCAAGTATTTCTACACTTTTCACGAGCCTGTTAAGTATTTTCAGCGGATGTTTCACGAGGATCATGATCCTACCATCGAAGACTCATACATGCAGAACAAAGAAATCGATGGAGAATGGTGTGTTATGGACGGTACGTCGATTATTTTTTGCTCTTATTGTTTTTTCATGGTTTGTTCTTGCGATAATATGCTACTTAGTCATATCTGCTGCGTTTTTGATAAATTGCTCATCTTTCCATCAGCTCATAATTCATTTTTGTTGCGATCGCTTTGCGTTAACTGCTCGCAGTCACTGGTTCTGATACCGATTGGGCTGGAATGATTCGAAAATCCCTTGAATGTTACTTTTTGAGTTGATCTTTAAGCCAAGAAATGATAACGTTTTGTTAGGTCTTGTTGGATCTAAAACGAAATACTCGAACCACACCGTGGTTAAACATTTACTGCCCTGCTGTGCCGGTCATGTGAACTAAGCAAGGTAGAAGCAAACGGAAGTGAGAGAGGAAGGAAGCCATTTAAACGGTGGATAATACAACGAGTGAAGAAAAGCATAGAGTATGAAATCTAAGTCGTATGACATATATGTTCAGGAGAATGAAGAGGTTTCGTGTTGCGTCTAATTTGCGCTCGAAACCCTTACCCGTAGTTTCACTGATTACATCTGGAAGCGAATTCCAGCACTCCATAACCCTATGCGACGACCGAGTTTCCGTCCTTATCTTATCAACGCTGCTTGTGTTAACTGTGGTTCAGGTATTCTCGAAGCCGTCGGTAGTACACTGAATACATACCCAAACTAAATAGACGCTCGGGGTGCGTTTGCACTTCGATCATTCTGGTACGCACTCGCAAGACCCTCTCGAGCTCCATTTTGTCCCGAACGAGGCATAGCTGGCAATCCTGGATGCCTGGGGCCGAACGAAAACAGAACAACTTCACAAATGTGTTAAAATTTAAGGCCACGTAGGAGCGTCATATTAACCACAAGATTCAACAACCCCTACTTGCAGCCTTTCACCACTTGTCGCCCAAATGCAAAGTTGGGCAACGGATGACACCTAGGTTAGCTTGATTGGAGACAAAGGTCAATTCGACTCCACTGAGAACATACCTCTAGCATGTGAATGTTGCCTCTATACTAAAAACAGAACACAGCCTGATTAATTGGCAATAACCACAAAGTAGTCCAGTCTGAGAGCCTATCCAGGGCATGTTAAATGGCCTAAGAACCCCAGCGACATTTGCAATATTCAGCGACGTGGTAAGCAAACAATAGCGATGATACTCCAGGCTCCATGAGTGGCCCAATGACCGAACCGTGAAACAGCGCTAAGGACCGCTTTCCTAAATGTTAGGCTGCGACCCACGTGTATGCACTGTTTTCTTCACTGCGAGGATGGAGACACCCAGTTGAAGGTATGTCAAGATACCGCCAGAGCTCAACTTTTGTGACAGCCTCAAGTGTTGGGCCGTGATAAATGCTTTCTAGTAGTCAACGAAAATCACATCCACCACGTGGCCATTGCTCACTGCTTCAGCCCAGCAGTCAGGTACGCTATTGCATTCGCTCTTTTACCACAAGCTCTTAACCATCCCATCGAATGACTTCACTTCCTGTTCGTTCGTTTAGAGCTATTATTATTATTATTATTATTATTATTATTATTATTATTATCTGGATTACTTTGACGACGCTTTTTAAGGCAAATGGATCTGATTCATCTTAGCACACGGACCATAGTTGATCACTTGAACTCCTCGCTGTTGACCTTCGCCTAGTTAGTATGCCAGCAAGTCTTTTTCCTACTTGATCTACCCTATTTACTAAATGCTACATACCGTGTCAACTACCTCGCCGTTCGGTGTTTAGGTGAAAGCCTTGTGCTCCAACCTGCGCATCTCGCTTCATATCCTAGCTTTAATACTCTTTTAAGCTTTTTTCTTCATTTTACTTAGAACTTAACTTCGTGTTTTTACGTCACGTAGACTTGAATTGGTACTTATTCGGGCCTATGCAACACCTCTGATAATGAACTTGCCGTGCAGCAAGTCTGTCAATCATCAAAACCTCAACAATACACGATAGCTGAGGGCTAGAGACACCTCGGGTTATGTCTCAGTACAAAAAAGATCGAACATAATATGGTATAAACTAAAAAGTCGTGAATTAAAAGGTATAGCGCATATCATACCGGTCTGTGGTATTAAAGATCGCAAGCTTGCCTTGTAATCCTAAAATCGCGGGTTCGTGCCTGCATGGGGACCGGGCTCCCCTCACAGTATCTTTAGCCCACACGCGATTATTGGTAGTTACGCGGCAGAAAAGCGCCGGTAAGGCTTACCGGCGTACTGCTGATGCTTTCCTTTTTAAATATCATATTGCGCATTTGGTATGAGATCGTCCTTGTAGGAGGAAGCTAAAGAGCGTCTGAAGGATACAAGTTTGCGACGCACGTCATCGTAGTCGGCTTGTGGGTTCCTCATCTTTGCTTCCCCAGCCTGACACTCGGGAGACACTAACCGACGCCAACTTGTAATGAGTTTTCATTCCTATTGACCAAGTCGTCGCTTGACCTCTCTTCTTCCATTCACAACCCAGTCGCACAGAAAACGCACGACCCGGGAATCGGTGTGTTGACGTGCGCAACATGTGGTCCAGCCATCCGACCCTTGTTCAGTAGACAACGCTTCGTGATCTCATCCACTATTCAAGTGCTAATATAGCTGCCTAGATACTTATATACATGGACGATTCATAGATGATCACCGCTAAGGATCGGCACAGGGGTGGGTCTTTACCAATCTTGGAGAAGGACTTTCCATTTCGAGGGTGCAAAGCATAGCACGAAACGACTGACAGCCATTGCTAATTTGTCCAGTGCTACTTGACACATTTGGGAGCTATCACAGATCAAGACTGTTGTCAGCATACCTTAAGTCGACCACAAGGTAGCAGCTCCACACCTTGTAGGTCGTGTTTGGTGAACTCCGTATCCATGACTTCGTCATTGGTGGTTAACTAGGAAAGGTAGTAGCGAGCAACCTTGTCTCACACCGCTAGAGATATTGAGGAGCGGCGACTGTTTAGCATAAACCCTCACTCTGTCCAAAATATGTCTGTATTTATCAGACATATCTTTCCTGAGTAGACATTCCCAAAGAACATCAGTCCACTGAATCAAAGGCAATTGATGTCGAGAAACACGACTACGATGAGCCCCCAATAAATATGGCGTTGTTCCCATAACTGTCGAAGTAAAGATGTGGCCAACGCAGCCTTGATTTCGACGAAACGGCTTGCCGTCGCGAATCTGGCTTACACAGGTACCCAGTGTCCGGACCGGCAATTTGTTCTGCTAATTGAAGACATGCTTGCTGATGGGAACGTCCGGGGAAGGTACAACTTGTGCTTTTCAACTGTGATCGGTAGTGATTTACTCAGCCCGGATGCCAGCGTACTTCGATACGCATTCAGAACACCTCGCTTCGCCAGCTGGCGGGTGTCTATACCCTCACAGCATCGTTGCGGACGTCCACCGAAACGCACCCGTAGATCAGCACACACACAAGAGTCGACGCTGGTGCTCCAAATCGAGTGACAGTTTTAGCTACAACCTATTCAGCGGTAATTGATTGCGGTGTGGTCGAGTTGTGTTCAGAGCCGGTCGGAGGCTGGTTGGCACCATCGAGGTGGAGCCAGACCCTGGCGTGGTGGAATGGTTTGCGTGCCTCAGCGATCGATTAGACTTTGATGAGTGGTGCTTCTTGCATCTTCAGAATGGACAGTGGCTGAAGATAAGAACTCAGCCTCCTGTTATTCTAGGCTGGGGGTTAGTGTAAGGAGGGTACATTCCTTAAAATGGATTCTTGGTAGCCCGCTGCCTTGCGGTCGGGCTTTTCGTCGCAAAAAGACTACCTTAACGTGGTGCGACGGCTTGCGTACTTCCCAGACCCAAATGCTATACTGGTGGGTGGACCCATTAAGAGCTACTCCTACAAGGTTTATCAATGGTTAGAGGTCAGACAAACTCAGTCTTCTGGTCCTCCAGATTGAAGGTTTGAATGGGGCGGCGTCCATTTCTGTAAATCTAACTAATTGCCACCTCACCGCTGCTTTGCGGACGGACTATGAGACAAAGGCCTTGGTTGAAGAAGCTAATCGTCCTGTCTCGGTCTGGACGCCCTGGCAGTATTTCAACCCACATACAACAATGACGATTTCTCCAAACTCCAACTACATCCTGCATTGGCCGTTGCACAGATTATCATAGGTCGCCTTATCTGCTGCATGCAGCAGGGCGGATAAGCGGAAACATGCTACTACTGGCGCCTTCTTTTCCACCTGTTTCTCTTACTCCCATCCCGACTTCCATTATTAACCTTCTATAATTCCCGGCTTAATTGACAGCAACCGAAGTGCCACTGGAGTAGAACCATCTGCAGCTACCTTCTCGCGACACGTACCGGACGCCTATCGGCATCAGTCGCTTATAAGGCCACGCTGTCCCGTTTCCATGGCACTCTAAGACAAACAGGTCAACAGGCTGCACTCGCACGCACCTTGGACACACTGGGTATTGATGTGTGTTGTGTGTCCGAAACTAGGATCAATGACCCTAGTGGGGTTTTTGATATAACTGCGCCCGGCTTGTCCTCCCTTTATTGGTTTCACGCATCCGGAGACATTGATGCAGCACTCACGGGTCAAGTTGGTGTAGGTATCATTCTAAGCTCCAAGGCTGAGCCATCGTTGGTTGATTGGATTCCGCTGAACAGCCGTTTAGGTGCAGCCAGTTTGAAGACATCAGCTAAGGTTGATTCACAAAGAAATACAAAACGCTGTTTGTTTATGATTTCCGCTTATGTCCCACCGACTGCACTTCAAATACTGTCGAGGACACATTCTCTCACGACTAAACGCGCTACTGCGCAGTGCTACTAGTTCAGGTATTACAGTATTTGCAGGCGATATGGACGCACAAGTAGGGCGTCTGAGCTCTTCAGAAGCTCAGCTGGGTGGTAATCATGGACTTAACTCCGAACGGACTGACAACGGCGAGCGTCTGCTGCAACTGTGTGCGGAGCACCAGTTGTTTCTTAGTGGCACTGCTTTTAGACACAGTGGGCGCCG